ACACGGCAAACGGCCAGCCAACGACGACCCACGCGACGAGTCGACACGGCGACAGCAAACGCTCTGCAAACCTCGCCTGCGACAGGCACGTTGCACGTGAGGGGTCAGCCCTGGGCCCCCGCGCGTGACCTGTCATCTGTGAAACGGGGGGGACAGGCAGGGCCCACCTGCCATGGGCAGAGAGACGCTCGGGCCTGGCCCGGACGAGCGAGCCGTCGGCTTCGCGGTCTGTGTTGATTATTGTCATTTTCACTCAGGCGTCTCCTCGAACGAGGCAGCCTCGATAGAAAGGAGATGGCAGCAGAGGGACAGGGGACCGTGGAGTGGACAGGTCACCCGAGCCCAGTGCCGACTCCGAGTGGACAGGCCACCTGAGCCCGGTGCCGACTCTGACACGAGGCCCAGGGCACAGGTCACAGGGACACGGGGCTGGCACTGGACCGTGCCGTGACCGCTGGATGCCAGGAGGCGGCTGCCCATGACACCTGAGGGACTGTCTCGTCTCGAGACTGGACAGCTCAGAGGCCTCTCCCTCAGGATCACTGCAGCTTTGGTGATGGTCACAGTTTCCCTCACATACTAGTAATAAAATGTGTCACTTCAGCGTGTGAGCTCAGCAATGCCCTACGGACCCCGCACTTGTCCTTCCCGCCGTTTCCAGCTAGAGAACCTTCCCGAGGCTGCCGGTTCGGCCGAGCGGACGCACCTTCTAAGGCGCGCATCCTTCGTGGCCTCTGCCGACGACCCGGGCTCTGGGACCCGAGACGCCCAGCGCCCCGCTGCACCAGCCGCCGGCTCGCTCCGCCCCGCGTGGACCCGGAGTTCCGCTCGGGGAAGACGGGCAGCGCGCGAATGACGAGCGGGGGGGAGCCGCGCACACCAGGCGGGACGCTGAGGGGTGTTGGCTGGGGTCCCAGCTGGGGGGGCCAAGGGTTGCGTCCCACACGGCAGAGCCACGTCCTGGCGTCCGAGCCCTGCACAGTGTCTGGGCAGCCGGGGACAGGTTACCTCGGAGCTTCCCGAGCTGTGTGACATCTCGGCGGCCAGAGGGTCCAGCTCAGTCCCCTGCCGTGGGGACTCACGGGCTCTGTCACCTCCCCGCCTTCCAGTGTGAGCTCACGTCTCACGACAGACTCTAAGCCTAGCTCCACAGAGTCTGAGAGGAAGCGTGTGTGCACGTGTGTGCAGTGTGTGTGTGTGCACGCAGTGTGTGCGTATGAGTGTGCATGCGTGCACATGCGTGCATGTGTGTGCATGCATGAGTGTGTATGTGCATGCACGTGTGAGTGTGTGTGAGTGCATGTGTGCACATGTGTGTGTGCACGTGTGTGTGCACGTGAGCACACAGGCGTGTGTGCGCATGTCAGTGTGTGCGCATGAGCCCGCAGGAGAGTGTGTGCATGTCAGTGTGTGCGTGTGCACGTGTGTGTGCGTGTGAGCGTGTGTGTGCGTGGATGCGTGTGTACATAAGTGTGCATCGTTCCCTGTCGTTTAACCTATGAACAGACATAAACATGGGATTCAGGGCAGAAACCGCTGAAATAAGCCAGGGAAAGACAGACACTGTGACGTCACTTCCTGTGTGACGTCACCTCCATGTGGCTCTGGAAACGCTGGAGCAGAGCACAGACGGGCGGTGGCAGAGGGTTGGAGCGGGTGAAGGCTGGAGGGTCAAACGGCACAGACTCCCGGTTATCAGGCGACTGGGTCCCAGGGACTCAGTGCGCAGCCTGGTGACTGTAGTTACCGAGACCGTGGACTTGGAAGACGAGGCTTCGCTCACCTGCCCGCCGCTCACCTGCTGTGTGGCCCGGTTCCCGACAGGCCACGGCCCGGCTCCGGTCCACGGCCCGGCTCTGGTCCACTGCCCGGGGGTGGGGACCCCTGTGTCAAATGGTCTCACCCCGAGAAAACAGCTCTAACTGTGTGAGGCGGGGGATGGCACCAGACTGCTCACGCCGATCATTCACACAGAAACCATCACGTTGTCCACCTGAGACTCAGTTACGTGTCAATGATCTCAGCGAAACATTTTTTAAAAGAGATTAATCGTGGAAATAGACCGTCCGCCGCTCGGGTGCCTTGGTGGGCGTCCCGCGGGCGTCTCACGACCCGTGGGCGTTCGGGGCCAGCCTGGCCTTTCGGCACGTCGCCATCGTTCCCATTTGAAATGAGACAGAAGCTCCCGCCACCCGGGAACCCGCGTGTCCCCGCTCAGCTGACGCCCATGGGTGGCGCCTGCCCCGTTTCGCAGCCAACGCCCGGGGGGCCTTCCTGAGGCCCAGCTCCATTCCCGTTTTCTTGACGACGCCGGCCTCGGACCCGGATTCTCTCAGGGTGTCAGCGGCCGTCGGGACTCCCTGGGCCCCCAGTGTGTGGACGTCCCGGGTGCTGGCCGCGGGCGCCGTCTCTGTGTCCCACGCCCGGGGTGCCAGCTCAGGGTCTGGGTTCCACTTTCTACCCCCGCAGAACCACTGGCGACGGCCACCATCAACGGGTGCAGAAAAGCGTCGTCCGCCCGACATCAGTCCATCTCCCCGTTGCTATGGAAACAGCCCCGACTCATTTCCCTTTGTCCCTCGTTCGGAAGCACTTGTGTTTGCTGCTGTCATGGAAACGGCCTGCGTCTGGGTCGCTATGGCAACAGCTCACGGAAAGTTGCTGCTCGCACCGTCGCCCCTCCCCCACCCGTGCGCGCCAGCACTCGGCCCGTATGGTGGCTGTGACACGGATGTCACGCAGGACACAGCCAGGGCCAGACAGCCTCCTCGGTCCCAGCGTGCACACGCCTCACGCCACCCGCCGCGTCAGCCTCACGGGAGGCCCTGCCCCTCTTCTCTCTCTCCCCCTGTCTCCCCTCCCCCAACATCTCATCCACACCCAGATCCCTTAGACCCACAGAGAGGACGGCGCCGAGCGGCCGCCACTGCCCGCCGGAGGGCTGGCCGGCAGGCACAGGCCCGCGAGCGTTTAGTGGACTTAAACAGAGTCACAGTTTCAGCTCTGCCCCAAACAGACACTTGTTTGTTTTTCAGTTTATCTGAACGGAGTTCAACGGTTTTGACAAAATTTAGACTATTACAAAAAGACAGGATATTTATTTTCCATGGAATGTTTTCCTTCAATAAGAAACTTCTGAAATGCTCTGCATGATTCAGGTTTTCATCTGGAAGGTAAACGGAAATGGGTGTTTTAACATAAGCCCATCTGCTGCCACATGGATGGATTTCACCGAGATTCAATTATGGGGCAGGAAGCATAGGAGGCGATGATTTTAATAATCGATGTTGAGCACAGAAGCCGAGGCTGAGCTAATGTGTCATCCGGGCAGGGCACGGAGCTTGACGCACAAAGCATTAAGACTCCTAACAATCTACGATGACGTTGAGATAACATAACATCCTGAGGGTCTACGTGATCCCGGAGGTTACGGGGAGGCCTGTACTTACCCTGGAACCCGGAGCCGTCAATCAGGGCCCTGCTCACGTAAGTCTGGGTTCGGTCCGCCTCAGAATAATCAAAACGGTCGGTTCTGGAAGCCTGTCAAGTATCTCGGGAATTTTAGTGCCAACGGCTTCTCAGCGAATTTCGTACATGTTTCTAAAACACCTGTAAAATTCCTCCATGTTCTATGTATTCTATATAGGTGAAGACTTTTCTGTAATTACAGTGTTAAGGTAAGTGAACACAGGTTGTCATCAGGGCATCATCTCCCTCTCTCCCCTCCATCAATACCTTAAAGTTGTTTGAAACGATCAACTTCAAATTTTTCAAAGGTCTTTCCAAAAAGAAAATGTTGCCATATTTGACCAAATTAGAGACCTAAGTAGATAGCCTTTGATCCAGGGCATCACTGGAGATAAATGCACAAGACAGATCGTTTCCAAGACAACCAGGAAATGAAGTTCTTGTTAGCGGCATGTCAGCTCCATAAACAGAAGCGGTTGTAGAGATCACACACGCACACACAGACACACACGTGTGCGCAAATACACACACACACACGCACACACGCGCACACACACACAGAGATCACACACACACACATACACACAGACACACACGTGTGCGCATATTCACACGCACACGCACACGCACACGCACACAGACACGGACTCGTCATTCACAGCCAAGCCCACGAAGGCACGGAAGAGGTTGTTCCTTCAATATTCTGCTACGTCAGTATTTCATTTCTCTACAGACTAACTTTCCTTCTGTTACCGAAAAACTCTTTGGAAAGTGGAAGAATTTATATAAAAAGAGCGTGTTCGTCAAGGCCACGAGAAGATGACGCGAAGCGACGAGCCCGTCAGCAAGGCCAGCTCGCCTTTCGCTGTATTAGAAAACATATTGTTGACCAAGAACATTGCCCGGTTTGAAGCCTTCGGAAGCATTTTTAACACGGCTGAGAAACGGTCAGCGATGGCGTACAGCTTCCCCTTCTCACGGACGGAAGGCGCGGAGCGGGCGTGGGCTGATGGCCGAAGTCGGCCGGCGAATGCTAACGCTTGGCTACGTGACAGAGAGGTTCTCCACATGGGACAGCTGCTCTCTCCTCCTCTCAAAAACCTAATGAAACGGGATCCGACCTGGGAGTTTTCATCAGGTCACTGACGCTGAATTTCAGAAGAAAGTCCATGAAAAACTGGTGAAGTCTGTTGATCAAGCCAAAGTCATGAAGATGGCAAACTGTTCCACATGGGAGGAAAGAACAGGTAGATGATTTCGCCGGAGAGAGTAAATATTTTTTAGTGTCACTGAAATGCACCGGACGCTCATATTTGTCCGCATTTATGTGGCATTGGATGTT